CCATCCATCCATCCATCCATCCATCCATCCATCCATCCATCCATCCATTATGTCTTTATATCTATCCATGTTATCCATTTATACATCCATCCATCATGTCCTTATCTATCCATGTTATCCAGCCATGTTACCCATCCATCCATCCACCTATGTAGTTCATCCACTGTCTAGTCACCATATGGTCCTTTTCTGGATTCAGCTGATTTCTCTGTCTTCAAATAAGCTGGGTGACCATAAAAAGAATTACAGAAAAAACGCAAGACATGGAGAAGTTTGAATCTGAACATCTTGCAGTACTGATCATTGTTAGGTGGATAAAGTTTAGCGAAGTATGACTAAGAATCTGAACAAGTCGCAGACTGCATGATTAAACAAACAGAGAATATACATACATATATATAGACATGCACAGTGGGAATTTCAATGGAAAAAGGGGGATGACATTTCTTTTGAACGTTATATTCACAGAAAATTGGCATAAGATGTTTTATCCTCCGCATATTTACTTTAGTCCTTTACTTCTAAAATGAAACTCTTTTTCTTCAACTTCTTGGAAATATAAGAAGCCGGTCAGATTTTATTTCATATGTGGTGGCAAATAGAATAAAGCTCAAAATATTGGAAAATGGAATGAATTTTGAAAGTGAAAATCCCAGGGCAATACCCCTCTAAAATATTTTTTATTACGTTTTACCATGCTTTACATCCCATCCAAATATACTGAATTGGCATTGTATATCTCAGCAGCTGCAAGGAATTATATGCCTTTTATTGGAAAAAAAAACCTTTGATTCCTTCCAGGGAAGAACTAAATTGTGCCTCCAAGTCTTTTTTTAAAAAAACTTTATTTTTAAAAAGTAAACCTGACACAGAATTTAATTTTAACTGAAAATCATACTGATTGTAGACAGCAATCTTTTATCTAGAATTTGGGTTTCAGAGTTCACTTTTTAACTTCTTGTATAATCTATACGACTGGTGGTACGCGTTATTTACTACTTATGCTATTCTTTCAATGATTGCAATAGTGTCAGCAAGTATTTCTTTAGTTTAAGGCTTAATGTGGATATGTGGATTTTGACTAGAAAATAGATGTGAAATATCTCATACGCTTCTCATGCTGCTTAACTATTTGCTTCGTGGTTTTTCAAACTTGCAAGTAGATAGCAAGTAATAGTACCACTTGATACTGCTCTAGTGAGGCCACACTTGGAATATTGTGCCTAGTTCTGGTCACCACAACGCAAAAAGGGTGCTGAAACCCTAGAAAGTGTGCAGAGAAGAGCAACAAAGATAATTAGAAGTCTGGAAGCTAACAGAATTAGGTCTCGCGCCTAATGAACAGAAGGCTTGGAGGAGACATGGTAGCCATCTTCCAATACTTAAGGGGCTGTCACAGAGAAGGCGGGGTTGTCAATTTATTCAATTTATGTTTTTAACAAGAGATTGGACAACCATTTGTCTGAAGTAGTTCGTGCCTGAAGACCTCCAAGATCCCTTCCAACTGTCATTCTAATTCTATTCTCGAAAGAACCTGAGGACAAAAGCAATGAGTAAAAAACAAAACAAAAGCTCATTAGGTGGGAGATTCAACCTGGAAATAAGGGGGAATTTAACAGAATACCAGAATTGGAGGGGACCTTGGTTGGTATATATGAAATAGAAAATGTAATTGATTATCTCTAAAGGATATGAGAAAATAGAAAATATGATAAAATAGAAGGGATTATATGGGAATATAAAGTATGTTATCATGAGAGTATCTTTGAGGATTAAAAACAGGGGAATGGAAATTTATTAAAATATGTAGATAAATTTTGGCTACGTGGAAAGAAAGAAAAAAACATGATTATTATATAATTATATATAAGAAAAGCGAAGATAAAATGAGAGATATTAAGAAGTTATTATTATTGTGATTTTTTGTGTTTGTGTATATATATACATTTTAAAATACAGTTGATTATTTAATGGATAATAGAAATGTATAATGAGAGTTCTTCATTATGATTAAAGTAGGGGAATGAAAAATTATTAAATTACCTAGACTGAGGGGATATACCACATGGATCCTAAATATATTATTTATTTTATTTTTACTCTTTTTAGATTGTTTATGATATATCAGTCTAGAGAAAATTAAGGATAATAATGATGTGTAATATAAGATAAAACAGGTGGTAAGCTGAAAATGGAAATAATAGGGGATAAAGAACTGAAAATTTATGTGTGGATGAAATGATATTGAATTAATGAATTGAAATATGAAATGGACATTTATTTAAATATGAGTGGAATGGATAATGGCATGAGGTGATATTATATAAGATAGATGGAAATGAAAGTATGACTATGTATAAATGTGGTAACCCAGTCTCTTCTTTAAAAACCTCCAGTGATGGAGCCTTCACAACTTCTGGAGGAAAGCAGTTCCGCTGATTTAATTGTTCCCACGGTCAGAAAATTCCTCCTTTAATTCCAGGTTGCTTCTCTCCTTGGTTAGTTTCCATCCCTTGTTTCTTGTCCTGCCCTCAGGTGCTTTGGAGGATAAGTTGACCCCCCCCTCTTCTTTGGGGCAGCCCCTCAAATATTGGAATATTCACTGTCAGAATATTGGAATATTCCTTGTCTGGAATATTCTTGACAGTGAGAACAATTAACCAATAGAGCAGCTTGCCTGCTGGAGTTGTGGGTGATCCATCACTGAAGGTCTTCAAGAAAAGATTGGATAACCATTTGTGGTGCAAAGACTTCTGTATTGGTCAGGGGGTTGGACTAGAAGACCTTCAAGATCCCTTGCAGCCCTATGATTCCAAGTTAAATAAGACCATTGGTTTAATACTTCATTAGACAATCAGGCTTAAGGAAATCTCTCAAATGTTGGTTCCCCTAAATGTATTCTCTATAATACATACAGTATTTCCTTGGTTTTTGCAACATTAAGATCAAAAAATATTCTTTGTTGCATCCTACATTCTTGCAATCAACATTTCTTATTCACTGACATTAATTTGGGTTTTCAATCATATCCTTTCCCCATAAAAGTACTCATACGTTCAGTTAATCAATATTACCACAAACATTCCTTGTATATTCACCATCCATAAATATATTACACACCCACTCCATATAACACATTTATATTTTAATATTTTGCTGGTACACAATCAGCACCTGCTGCCTACTATTTTTCATCATCTTCACAGCATTTATTAATTCTTTTTATATTTATATTTTTTTTCCTTAGGCAGAATATTTATAACTTTCATTTTCATTCTTTTCTTCGATACTTCAATATCCTTCCAATGCAAACCTTTAATATATTCCTTCACTCCACATTCACCCCAGATCATATCGTGTATTCTTAATTTTAAGTCCATTCCTGCCTTCATGTTCTCACCTTCTTAAAGCCATTTATTTCCCTCAAAAGCACCCTGCATTCCCTCAGCTTCTTTTAATCCTCCCTGTTCTTTGCAATTCTCTTTTCTCTATGCATATTACACATCTTCCTTTTAATCTTGTTTTTTCTTATTACTGCAGCAAACTTCACTCACATGCATTTTTTTTATCTGCAGCCTTTTGTGTCTCCGTTCCACCATGCATTTTTTTTTCCATTTTCTTCATTAAAAACTTTTCACTGGCAGTCTAACACAATTATTTTCACCCCACCTTCCACACCCCTTTTCCATTCATTCAGGGGAAGATTCATCTATCTTCTAGTTCTTTTTTTGAATATGATTCATACTTTCCCTCCCTGCTATTATTTTACTTTCAATCTAGTTTCTTTCTCTTCATCTCCCAGGTCTGCTTCTTTTTTCAAGACTACTCTTGACACCACCAAAATATACCGTACATCTATGGAGATTCTCAGTTGTCCAGGTCGTGATTGTCTCAAAAGTGCTTTTTCGAGAGGCCACTGGGCTTTCTTTTTCCCTGAAGAGGTTTTGCTTCTCATCCCAGAAGTCTCTTCAGTTCTGATTAACAGTTCAATTCTTCAGTCAGAAATGAAGAAGCTTCTGGGATGAGAAGTGAAACTTCTTTAAGGAAAAACGAAGAAAAGTCCAGTTGCCTCTTGAAAAAAGCAGCTTTGGGACTACCAGAATATAGTTTATCCCAAATTCAAACCCTCTACTGACTTTGCATCCTTCACTAATTATCTCTCTCTTTCACATTAAACAAATCAGTCAAGATTTTTGATTCTTTCCTTTTCTTTCTGCAGCGATGAACCGACTTTTGCCTAAAAGACGTATTCAGAAGAGCCAATTCTCATTCTCTCCAAGTGTCTCCATTCCATTTTCTGTATTCTCATCTCATCCGCAGCCATCCGTTCACATCATCTAAAGGAATCATCTTCCCCCTAAATTATATTCATTCGACATACGGCTCAATTTCCCTCCCAAAGTCATTTCTAAGTTCTTCCACAATTTAAGTTCGCTGAAGCATAACATGCAACTATCCCTAAGCTTCGCATCCCTACCCACGACAATCGTGATGACACCAAATGACACTTTCTAACGTATATTTCATCCTTTTCGTTTGTGAATTAAAATGGTTCTTTTCCTTCTCTCTGTCTACGTTCACCAACTCTGCTCCACAAAATCAGCTGTCTGTGTAGCGCAATCTCCTTATTTTAAGGGCAAAACTAAAATGCAGCATGTTCGTTAAAATTGCCAGACGCAGAAATTCGAGGCAAACTTTTAAAATATATATTAAAAAACCCTCCCTCCAAA